TCGTCACCCTAATTCGCCTCCATGCATGCAGGTACGACCGATCACATCAGTTGGCCCTGTCTGTCTCTTAATTTCTTGGCTAAGAACCCAATTAATTATATAACTCGCTGAGATCACCGTACTATATATACCTAATTATAGCTAGCTTAGCTATAGCTCTTGATTAATTATAGTCTGAGATCTATGGGCGTCGCAGCTTCAGCCAATAATCTGATTAATGGATATTGATGATCATTCATGTCTTAAATCTGGGAGGGTAGCAGGCATATATATATATATATATATATATATATATATATATATATATATATATGTCTCTCTCTCTCTCTCTCTCTTCAATTCTCTCCTTCTCTCATATGCATATGAACAATCACTTTCAGTGGCTGATGATAATAGGCATGGTACAACTTACTAATTGGATCGATCATCAGCTGAAAAAAAAAAGATGATTTGTCCTTATCTAGGTGAAGAATTAATTTGATAGTATTTTGGCAATTTCAAATCCAGATAGTTACATGGACATGCCGCAAAAATCCATCCATTGTACATATATATACTTCCAAATTTTCATGCGCAATTTTGTATGGAGCTATTTTTTTAGATCTTTTTTATTTTAGAAATGCAGACCTTTTTTTTTGCGGGGCTATATTTTAAAAGAATTGGATTTGTCGTATTGTACAACTACTCTTAACGTGCTTTGTGTTCACCAATTTTAAGAGTTTTTTTAAGAATTGGATAGATATATAATTCTTGACTTATGTTTTCATAAATACAATTATATTTGTGTACAACTATATTGATCAATTTACATGAACTGGCCCACCCTGATCAAACAATATAAATTAATCTTTATGTTTTTGTCTAACTTATGTGGTAATTTATAGGTCTCCCGAACTAATATGCTAGTTTCTTTTTTGCTTATCTTAGTAATATACTCCCTCCATTTCAAAATGTTTGACACCGTTGACTTTTTAGCACATGTTTGACCGTTCGTCTTATTCAAAAAAAAATTTGTGAAATATATAAAACTATATGTGTACATGAAAGTATATTTAACAATGAATCAAATGATATGAAAAGAATAAATAATTACTTAAATTTTTTGAATAAGACGAATGGTCAAACACGTACTAAAAAGTCAACGGTGTCAAACATTTTGAAATAGAGGGAGTAATTTATAGTACTCTCTAGTTGCAATTATAAGTCATTTTCAAATTATTGAAAAAGGAAAATAGCTCAAATGATTCTGTTACTCTTGATTTATAGTATTATACATTGAGAAGGAATAGTTATTTATTTCTGAGAGTGATAGCATTTATTTGGCAAGTGAAATTATGAAAGAAAAGATAAAAACATTAATATGTAGAAGTTTCTAAGCAAACTACACTATTTAGAGAACAGATAATTTTTATTAAAAATAAAAAAACAACCATCTTCCATCAGGATGCACACAACCAAAAGAGCGAGAGAAAAAAAAAACTAAGGCAGATAAGAACATATTCCCTTTGTCCTAAAATAAATTAACCTAGTATAGGATGTGACCTATCCTAGAACAACTAATACTTTCTCCTCCCAAAATAACTACCTAGGATGGCTCACACAACGAATCTAGATAAATCGGTTACATCCCATTTTAAGTTGAGTTATTTTAGGATGTAGGGAGTATTAGATTGTCTTGCAGCAACTCGATCACTCCCTTATAATCGAAAGAACACACAATTAATCTTATATACCTACTCGAAAATATATAGCGCCTACAAGAAGAAAACGCTGTGCTTGCTCGCCGCTATCATCCAAGTTTAAGCCAAAACTAAATTTAGCAAAGAATTGGAATGAAAAGCTAAAACAACTACTTGCATTTGGAATTGAAGGGAAAAAAAAAAGGTACGTAGTTCTTTTTTTTTTCTCTCTTGAGCATACACAAATATATACATAGTTGATACACATGAGTGGAAAATTAAGAAGAGAAGCTAAGCTATAGGTAATCAGAGCATACGCTGCATCAATCTAGCTAGCTACTACCTGCCCAATAATGTGAAACAAAGTTAATTAGCCATTGGTGTTAAGAGAGGATCGAGCTAGGTAGCTCTAGCAACACATGTAGAGCTAGCTAAGCTAAGCTAGGCAGCTTGCTAGGAAGACTTTTTAAGCACCTAATAATTATAAATAGTTTAATTGTGGGGATATAAATAATTCGATCGGTGTGGGGCCGGGCAGGGCATGGTTCCCTGGAGCTAAGCTTTGCACTTTTTCAGTTGCGAATGCCGGCTCAGTGGCCGCACAGTCGACGCCACGTTTCGACACCACGTGAGCCGACCGATCCCTTCGCATCTCGACCGTCCATCGACTACGTACGGACACCGTATTTATAGCTAACACAAAATTGCTACTCAATTTTGAAATTAATGGAACTGTATATATAGTAAATTTTGACTACATATTTAGAATACAAAGCTCAAAATTGTTATATTTCGAACAAATATAGTAGGCTATAGTAAAATGAGACCCACGTGTCAGTGACATCACTGCTTGTTGTGCATCGTTTTGGATATAATTTCATCAACCAAAAAGTAATTAATTAGAATGTCTATTTATCGTTATGTTCATATTAAATGCCTTAATTTAAACTAGGTATTTCTCTCACGTTGGAAACCACGGCAACATTAATTATAGAGGTAAACTCGTCTAAGATGCTTATTAATATTTCAACAGAAATTTCCATAGATCTGACCAAAAAACGATTCAACGTCGACCGAAAATATGGAATCTGATGGAGTACCAAAGAGTGTACAAGCAAAAATGAGGATATAATTAATATATATATATATGTATATATATATCTTGCATTTTGCAATCATAATACTGTTTGCAATTAATTATCTAAGCATAGTGGAACTAGTTAATGTTTATGAATAGATTGGTCGAATAATATATAGTTTTCATGTTAATTGCCCTCAGGTAGCCGTTTAAATGGTTCGAATTAATGAGCTTAAGGGGGAATAAGTATTATTAGAGAGAAATTCAAGGAGGAGATCAGGATCTGATCCGACCATATGTATACTTCCTCCGTACTCGTAAAGGAAAATCGTTTAAGACAATGTTTAAGTCAAACCTTACGAATATAAATCATGAATAACTCTTAAGTTGTTGAGTTTGAAAATATAAAAATTATATGAATAGATTTGTCTTGAAAAATACTTTCATAAAAGTATACATATATCACTTTTTAATAAATATTTTTATAGAAACAAGAAGTCAAAGTTGTGTTTTGGAGATCGTGTCGCTGTTCAAAACAACTTCCTTTACGAGTACGGAGGGATTATACTCCTATGTACCAACGAGCATAGATGTGGACAGTGTAGGTAAGAAACTTACGTTTTCTACAAGTACCTGCAAATTACCGTGCAATTGTGTGATAACACAAGGGGACTCTCAATTTAATCGGTTAAGTTGAAGTATATACGTACTAGCTTTTCTTAGAAGATGGTAAAAAAAGGCAAAGAAAAAAAAAAGCATGCCCTGCGCGCAGCTGCGCTTTATTAATTTGATGAAAGAAATGCATACGCCGGACCAATGTACATGGATCACGCACACTTTAATTTATAAAACTATATGCATGTGACAAATGACAATCAACCCAAGCAAGCACCGAGCACATCTAAACAAATCATAAAATTAAGTGAAAGAAAACTAAATATGATTTCATCTATGGTGTTAAAAAAATAACCTAGGTTTGTGTATAGAAACTCGAAATATCTGTCAAATTAACTGTGGTTAATAAAAGAAAGACTTGTTTAAAGGTGGTGCTACACTAATTCTGTGTGTTCACATTTGATTAATTAAGTCATGACTTCTGTGTAATGAGTCCTAGCTGTTATAATTGACTTGGTAGTATTTGTGACATTACTTGCATGTAAGGGCAATGTAGAAGGACAAAAAATATTGGTAATTGTCTACACTTGATAGTCTTCATTCCTACATTTAAAAAACTCAAAACAAAGTTAGGAGAAATATTATATTCGTTACAGTTCCATTTGCATGTTAGCTAAACTGGAGTCATGCTTAACCGTGGTTAGATTATTAACCCATCAGGATACTTTGTGGATTCCATAGGCATGCATATATATATGCCTGTGAATTATAAGACTACCAAATATTTATTGTATCGTTTATTGCTATAAAAACGAAAGAGTTACATCTAACTAATTTACCAGCATGATTAGACTCACTATGTTGAAGAAATCCGAATAAGTTTAGAAGACAAGAAAAACTCCAAAACAAAAGAATTTAAAACATTCGTAAATTGCACAACGATATACTCGATCGTTTGTTTTTTTTCATCGGTTGAATGGAGCAAACTTTTTGGTTGGGAGTAATTAAAGTTCTTATTAAATCAGTAACACATGCCATTCCTATACATATTGGATGGGGTTATTAAGCTAGGTTACTGCGAAGCCTTTGCCAAGATATCAACAGCATGATTCGCTAATTCAGGCGAGGGAGTTAAAATGGCAAAAAATAGACATTTTAGGCATGTATTGCATGGTCCATGATGTTAGTATTACATATAGCTACTTCAGAGTTGTGTGCATACATATATATACACAAAAATGTATAAATTGTAGACTAATTAGAGAAAATAAAACATCCATGGATTCTCTCTTTTAAATTTCTTGAAGGCAGAAACATAACCTCTCCATCCAAAAAAGACACATCCTGTCCAGATTCATAGCTAGGATTGGGTTTTTTTTTGTCAGAGTAGTACATGCTGTGTGCATTCCCAAAACTAAAACTACAGCACCGCAAACCACAATTAATTAATTAATTAACCCTGAATTAACTAGCTAGCTAAGAGGAATTAGGATGACAGCACATTAAACAAGTTGGGCATTACCTGTCAAAAAAATGCTAACAAACCAGGCACCAAATATCTCTGCCACATGCCATCTTGGTACCACCCACATGCCCCAACCCAACCAAATGCTTTTATTTATACACCCTCCTTGGCCTCTTGCACCAGTTTGTTTCTCTCTTCCTTCCTTCTCTCTCTCTCTCCATTGCCAGCTAGCTGCTCTTGTAGATCCAAGCTTTCTTCTTCTTCCTCTTGCAGCTAGCTAGTGTTCTTCTTCTTCTTCTTCTCACTGTTCCCTAGTTTCTTCCTCTCAGATCCATTTTGTATATCTTCTCTCTTCATTGTTGATTCTCTCAAGAATTGGGCTCATGAAGAGGCCCAGCTGCAGAGGCTCCTCCATGGCCATCATCCATGACACCTCTGATCAACAAGGTACACCATAATTCTATTTCTTCCAAGCCAACTTTACATGCATGATCATACATGCACCAAAAACATGTACAATTCATTTAGTTTTTGTACGCATTTTGTAGCTAGTTGCTGAATTATGCGTGAATTTAGAGACTTTTTTTTTGTTTTGCAATGGTAATTAACACGTAGAACATCATGTGTGTTGTGTTGCAGAGGACAACATGAGGTCGTACATGGACGGCGGCGGCGCGGCGGCGTACGAGGAGGAGGAGGAGGAGGTTGAGGACGACGACGGCGGCGGCGGCGGCGGCGGCGGCGGCGGCGGTGGGGGGCTCGGGGAGAAGAAGCGGCGGCTGGCGGCGGAGCAGGTGCGGGCGCTGGAGCGGAGCTTCGAGGCGGACAACAAGCTGGACCCGGAGCGGAAGGCCCGGATCGCCCGCGACCTTCGCCTCCACCCTCGCCAGGTCGCCGTCTGGTTCCAGAACCGCCGCGCGAGGTGGAAGACCAAGCAGATCGAGCGCGACTTCGCCGCCCTCCGCTCCCGCCACGACGCCCTCCGCCTCGAGTGCGACGCCCTCCGCCGCGACAAGGACGCCCTCGCCGCCGAGATCGCCGACCTCCGGGACAGGGTGGACGGCCAGATGTCCGTCAAGCTGGAGGCCGTGGCCGCGGACGAACACCAGCCGCCTCCGCCGCCGCCGCCGCCGCCACTGGCGTATAACAGCAAGGTGGTGGACGGCTCGACGGACAGCGACTCGAGCGCGGTGTTCAACGAGGAGGCGTCGCCGTACTCCGGCGCGGCCATCGACCACCACCACCACCAAACTCCGGCGAGCTACGACACGGCGGGGTTCACCTCCTTCTTCGCGCCATCCACCACGCTCACCTCGTCCCTCTCCTTCCCTTCCATGTTCCACGCGTCATCGCATTTCGATGGCCACCAAGAACTCCTCGTCGGCGGCGGCGGCGCCGGCGCAGTGGCCGACGCCGACCTCGGAGGCGCCGGATTCTTCGCCGGCGACGAGCACGCCGGCGGCCTCTCCTGGTACGGCGCCGAGGGTTGGTAGAAGCTAGAGCTTAGCTAGCTAGCGAGAGAGTGAGCTCAGCTAAGCTTAATTAGCTGGCTTGATTGCTTGCTTTGTGGCTGGTTGGTGACGCCATTGTTGTAAATTACGGCATTGTTAAGTTGTACATGCATGCATGGGGGTAATTATAACTAAAGTCAATTTCTATAGTTTTTACTACTACTGGCTAGGGCACAAGCTAGCAGAGACATATACTTGGAGGAAGGAGACAGTGATTAATTTTTTTTTATGGTTTTCTTTTACGGTTTTACCCTACAACTTTTTGTTCCTATTGACAAAAATAAATGTGGGCCATACTTGTCAGTGAGATGAGCATATAGGTAGGAACATGCATGGGAACTTGGGAATGGGAGAGGATATATAGATAGTGGGGTTGAATTGAGGAAGAGGAGTGATATATTAATTTAAGGGAATGTTTAAGGGGGGTAATTGTAAAAAAAGGCCCAGTTGTGACAGTTCTACTTAAGTACTTCTAGCTAGGTCGTCAAAGTAAAAACAGAACAAAAAAAGCTAGATTTGGTGTAAGATCATTTGCTCATTATAGAGATAACCCCAGGTGAAAAAAATTATAAGGCCGAGATGAAAGTGACTATGCTATAGTATAGCAACCTTTAAACTCTTAATTGAAGTAAAATTTATCATACATGCATGCCGTATTAGTACCTAGGGTTTGATCATAGAATGTGCTCCTTTGGGCAACAAAAAAATGGCACCATGCAAAAGCAGGAGCTAGCTAGTGACGCATGCATGACGGTGACGAGTTGATTGAGTTGTTTAACCGCAGCAAAAAATTAAATCAAAATAAAAGAGAGTAAAGGTCTATGGTTGATTGGTGAGAAGCTAGGGAGAGGAGGAGAATGAGCTCATTTTGATGTGGCAGGGCATGCAATATATTATTATTGTAATGCAGCGGTGAAGACCGGCAAATGCTATGTATACTAGTATGTCTACAAGGTTATGGCCGTATTTAGTTCCATTTTAATTTTTTTAAGCATATGAATACGCATTTGAAGTATTAAACATAAACTAATAACAAAACAAATTACAGATTCGACATGTGAACTGCGAGACGAATCTATTAAGCCTAATTAATCCATCATTAGCAAATGTTTACTGTAGCACCACATTGTCAAATCATGGCGTAATTAGGCTCAAAAGATTCGTCTCGCAATTTACATGTAAAATGTGCAATTGGTTTTTTATCCATATTTAATGCTACATGTATTTGTCCAAACATTTGATGTGATGGAAAAATTGAAAGTTTGAAGGGAACTAAATACACCCTATATAATAAGATACCAATCAGTTGGGGCCCTTCTAGATGCATCCATCTTGGAAAGGGATAGGCACAATCAGCTCACAATTTTCATCATGTACATTTTGACATCAATTGTTTTGTATTGTGCTGTATAAAGTTTGCAATGTCTTTTTAAATATGTGATGCCCTGGTGCATGCATAAGCAGAAGATATTCACTAGTAAGTCTTTAATATAGCAGTCGATCGCAATTGTGTGTACCATTTGAAAAAACAAATTAAGTAAGTTGTCTGGCTTTCACCAATATTGGTATTAGTTTATATAATCTGTTATGTTCTTTATGTTCTTGGTGGAGTATTATGTCTTTAGGCGGAAACATAGGATTAATATATAAAAATTGAGAAATTACATGCTAGAAATTGTAAAAGTAAAATGCTGTTGTAAAAAAAATTGATGTATATAGCTTTGGTTGCATATCTGCATTATTTGTCAAGTCCAAGAGTGTTGGTCGCCTTCACTAATAAGCACAGTGGACTAGAAGAAATGGTTGCACGAGTACAATATATAACTTGACTAGAGAAGGAAGAAGTGATGGAAGTGTAGTCTAATATAATGGCATATCTATAAAAATAGCCTACGTTACGGTTCCTTAATTTTTTTTATTAATTAAGAGGAATGCATTGTGTAGTGTCAACCCTTATAATTGGCCAATCACTAATATTTATATCGATCGCAATCGTTCGATATTGATAGGAGGCGATTACATTGGACCTAATTGTGCCTAGAAACTAAATGTAAGACACATCCGCTAACCATATATCTTGACTGCATAGATCTTAGAATTTTAGAGTATTAAATATCTATGAAATCATTTCTAGATCAAGAAAACAAAGAAAATGTTAGGTTTGATATTACTCTTTACAATATTCATATTATACTAGATGATAGATACTACATGCATCAGCATTTTAATCTATATTTTTACATCATCACTTTGTATCCCGATGTGTTTGGAGGTACCTAGTTAATTATAATACTGAATAAATGGTATACATTGTTTGACACTACAGATGAAAATCACTAATTATTTATTATTTTTTTACAAAAAAGACCTCGATAATTATCCCAACTTTGAAAAAGATTATTATACTAAAATTATCCCATATGTGAAGTACACAACCATACTTGTATTATATTTTTTTTTGGAAATTATCCCATAAGATAAAGAAGCTCTTTAAAATTGAGACAACATCCCAAGAACACATAGTTAATTAAGCCGTACGTACGTCATTGTTAACCTCGCTGGCTGAACTTCATTCAATTCATCTGCTCCTGTGCAGCCAACGAATTCGCTCGCATGTACTACCTCCGTCCATACATATACATATACGTGCTAAGCGTTTTGACCATCCATCTTATTTGAAAATTTTATGAGAAATATTAAAAAAATTAGTCACACATAAATTACTATTCATGTTTTATATCTAATAAAAATAAAAATACTAATCATAATCTTTTTTTATATAAGACGAATGGTCAAACGTTGGACATGAACAGTGCTAAAACTACACTTAGGCTGCGTTCGTTTGTGTGATATAGGGTGAGAAAGCACATCGTTTTCCACGCGCACGCTTCCCAAACTATTAAATGGTGCGTTTTTTGCAAAAATTTTCTATAGAAAAGTTGCTTTAAAAAATCATATTAATCCATTTTTGAAATTTAAAATAGTTAATACTCAATTAATCATGCGCTAATGGCTCATCTCGTTTTGCGTATTTTCCCAATCTCCCTAATCTTCTTCTCCTCAAACAAACCCTTATTTTGGGACGGAGGGAGTAAAACACAGTTGGAGTAGACTTTATATGTGTGCTGCTAGCTAATTTTTCTTTTAAAGAAAAAAAAATCTCCCATCTTCTCAGATAAAGCCAATGACACTGTAGCCGAGTAAAGGCACACAGTTTGCCTACACAACACATGGGCATGCAAACGCTACAGCTGCATGCTAATTAGCTTTACTCGGCTAGCTAAGCTATATATCTAGCTATAGGTCAGTAGCTACCTAGTCGGGCCCACCGCCGCCGTGCACGGCGGCCGGCGGCGAGCTTCCCGCTGACGCGTTCACCGCCGCCGCGGTGGGTCGCCGCCGCCGTCGTCGTCGCCGTCTTCTTGGACGGGAGCGGCGGGCGCACATGGGGGTGGGTGGGTTGCAGCTAAGCTGCAGCGGCGCGCGCGGCGGATTGGGGGGACACGTGTCGACCTCCCGTGCTGCTTCCCGGGGTTTGATCGGATCATCGCAGCCGTCCATATATATATGAACGATGCCATTGATTAGTTGGCACTAGTAAGCTACGAAATGCATCCACGGAAATTAAGGGCTCGTTCATATTTATGTCATTTTAAATTATACTATCTTTTTAGAGTTATCAAATATATATGTGCATCTATTTAGTTTCTTGCCAAACTTTAGTAATACATAAAAAAATCCTGTCAAAATTTTAGCAATATTACTAAATTTGTTAGGATTTATTTTGGCTATAATATGAACAGGCTCTAAGAACGAAATTAAGGAGACTAACTACGGTTAGATTTTTTCATTAAGGAGTCTAGGGGGGAAGTCAAGAACTGAAAAATTGGACAAGCTTGTTTGAGCTTAATTTGGGTTCTCTAAGTCACAACCAATTTTTAATTTTGTAACTTATTTTTGAATATTAAGTTTATATAATTTTTTAGCTTTATAACTTAATTTTATTTTTTTCACTTTGATCACTCATTTGGCTTTAGGATTGCTAAAGATAGAGTATAAGATATTTCCCTAAATTTATTCTCATATCATAGCTTTAGTAACATATCTTTCATTTATAAATTACAGCCAAAAAGGCTCGAACAAGCAAGCCCGATGTTTCCTCGAACAGTGGCATGTATGGATGCAACTCGATTAGTAAGCTGGGTTAATTACTTGTCGACCATGTGCAAGCAGCTGGCATTATATTTGCTGTAAGATATAAAAAAAAGAAGAAAAGAAGATTCCCAGGGAGCTGTAAGTGCGCACATTCCCCTGTTGTTTATCATGGGGTTTAGTGAACTAAATCCCCAAAAGATCAAGAGATGTCTTAACAAATCGGTGCGTGGTTTTGTTAACTTAATCATGGTGAGGCTTTTGGAAGATTCGTAAGCATGTGAGAGTGGTTAGCTAGTAGGGTGGCATGTTCTCTGTTCCCCTTCAACCACACAAGGAGGGGGAGCCCCCCCTTTGTATGATGGTTGCAATTTAAAATCCAAACAAGTTTTGTTTGTACAAAAGGGTCACTAGCTAAAATGGATGACTAATTAATTAGACAATATAAAGTATCGTATTTTTTTATAACCATTCATCAAATTCATCCTACAAGTGGGCGTAGTTAATTATATTGAAAAATATGAGGAAGAAAAACTTTCTTACGTTCCATTTCCTCTTGTAAAAATAATCAGACAGCACATCTCCAGCCTGTGGTGAAAATTCTGCATGCATATGATGAGCAAATTGATGAACACAACAATCTTATCTGCTAGAAATGCAGGCTTGCTGAATGCTGATGGCCCAATGGCTCTACCTGCTACCGTTAATGGTTTCTTTAGCCCTTAATTTGGAAGGATAGGAGTGTTAAGTTAAGAAGATAGTATTAGAACATATCTTTCTGGTGGCACCAAACAAAAATATTCAATAGCATACAAAGATTTGAGCAACATGCAAAAGGATATTCTCGGCTATACCTCTCAACCGTCCTTACATGAAGATCAACCAGCCGGCACATGCAAACCACAAGAAAAAAAAAAACAGAAGCAAACACCAAGTAGAGAGGTCACTGCCAAAAGAAATGAGACCCATATGCCGAAGCACATGACCTTCAGTTAATCATATTCGGTAAGGCAATGCCACACTTAGTACGGTGTCATAGCAGCAAGTAGATATTAATAGTAATACGTGTAACAATACATAAAGGATTTAAGAAATGTAAAACAATCGGCATACATGGCTATTGGTAATTAACCCCCACAAATTAACCCACTCCTATGAAAAATAGAGCTCCTCTGCTCGCACCCTACTCCAGCTGAGAGAAGTGACAAAATGTCACAAATTCTAAGCTATCCCGTCCACCTGATCACCGAAACAACCAATAGTCCAACAATACTCGCAGCCTAGAGCTATTTGAGCAGGGATGTACATCCAGAAAGATCGCGTGAAAATTCTCAAAAAGAGGCACACAAATACAGCTGAATCTGAGTAGAGTAAGATCACATGGAACTGCAGCACTTGCTCTTGGGGATCTCCTGCGCTGGGCCCGGGACGACGACCTTCTTCCCTGCTAGCGATGGGGCAGCGCCGTTTGCTTTTGGGTCCGCTGCCATGTTCTTCTTGCTGTGAATTTTGAATATCTCTGACAGGACGGTCTGGAAGGCGTTCTCGACGTTGGTGGCCTGCAGAGCGGAGGTCTCCAGGAAGAAGAGGTTCTCCTTCTCAGCAAACTCCTTGGCATCCTCGGTGCTCACGGCCCGCTCGTCTTCAAGATCGCTCTTGTTGCCAACCAGCATGATGACTATGTTCTTGTCCGCATGGCCACGGAGCTCCTCCAGCCAGCGAGGGATGTGATCAAAGCTCTGGCGCTTGGTGATATCGTAGACTAGGAGAGCTCCCAATGCTCCTCTGTAGTATGCACTCGTGACAGCTCTATACCTGCAGTAGTTGAAGTAAATAGGCATGACAGGTTAGTAAGTTGTGTTCATGAAAGAAACAAGTTTGTAAGCTACATGAGAAAGACAAAACAGATGAATGCCAATACTGCCACAAAATTCATCACACATTTTGAGTGCTACAACATATATACAGAAAATACGTATATATTTTGTCTCACTGTGATCTTGGAGTACTGTTTCTTCACATGATGACAGTAAAAATAGAGAAGTTCTCTAAAGTGCAGGACTAAGATTTCATGGATAATACAGCACGCACACCTATTGTGTGTCATGTGCTCAAATGCAGAACAGAATGCAGTTCAAATGACAGGGAAAACAAAGCAAACGAAGCAGCATAAAAGAATTTTAAGGCTATGGTTACCATGGATACACATTTGAGTAGTCAGAAATAATACAATGACAAGATTATAGAGAATATCAAAAGTAGGAAGGCTTAGGGGAACATTTCAGAAGAAAAAAAAAACTGTTGCAAATCATAACTCATTCTCTATTAAAATATTGAACCACCATACAGATATTTTGCAGGTAATTGTACATAAATACATATGGGCAACTCAAAAACCCAGTAGCAATGAAGTTGGGATGATGTCATGGACCTTAAAATCACAAAAAGTGGTCAGTACAGAGAGGGAACCAGATAATTCTCTAGTTTGGTTGATATAGAAGATATTTTAGATAAGAATGAGAACAACCATCAAACTTTGGAACTAAATAGTTCTTCCTTAGGAGATTAACTAATAAACCTCCAGACAAATTTCAAGAGAAAAAAAAAAGCACTTTAGGCTGGCTCCACTCAAGTTCTCCAAACCTTGGTTCACTTCTAGGGCATATGAATGTGAAATTCAATATTTCAATATGTATGTTACTGAGTAAAAACAACAAGGCTTAGAGCAAGTTTAATAGTAGAGCTCACTACTTACTACTCCCTCCATCTCATAAAAAACCAACGTAATACTGGATGTGACACATCCTGTATGTCTAGATTCGTTGTACTAGAATATGTCACATTCAGTCCTAGATTCACTTTTTTTGGGACGGAGGGAGTATTAGTCAATGTTAAAGCTAACATGTATAATAGGTTAGCTATAAGGTTATCTTTATTTTTTTCATCCTCTCTCTTTCTCACTATGAATTTAATGCATATTTCTTGGAGCTTGTGTGTAGTTAGCTCTTGCATAAGAGCCAACACTCCCCACTTTTGTTTATCTCTCTCTTCCACATAAGCATATAGCTTGCTTATAGCTCACTATTATCCTTGCTCTTATGTCAACCAGAATTAAAAAAAAAACAACTATATTATGGTAATATCAGCTAGACATCTAAACTAGAGTGAACTGGTTGCAGTTACACACCAAGGGGAATGTGTATAGCTCAAAGAAAGTACTGTGCACTGAACAAAAGTGGCACCAAAGTTTTAGTTCATTCCTCAAACAAAAGATTATGGAACAAGCATTGCGACCAACCATTCCCCGTGAAGATCATGTTGGCAAATGAGCCATGCATTGCAATTTTAGTTTTTGGTCTGTACTTATGATCTTTTTAATATAATATATTAACTGCGGGGGCCTCCCCTGCAGTGGTTCCGGTAAAAAAAAAAAGAGCCAGTGCATTTACATATCCAGTGGTGACATTCAGTGAAAATGCCTTGGAAAAGCTATTCATGAATCTGACCAGCTTGAATGACCATATGTCTGTTTGAGCAACCAAGCGTTCAAAGATTTAGTAGTAATTGATAAGTGGACTTGGTTAGTACCTGTCAATGTTTTAATTTCGCAGGCAAGTTCCTGTCTAGTTGAGACAAGTAACTAGCTAAAAAACTAGCTCAGAGAAAAATAGTTTTTAACTTATATATTGATCCCTGGATGTTGATAGCCATATGATATTTGTACCAGTGTCCCCAAAATTTAGATATTCCTAAACACGATAACATATGAATTTATCTATGCAGCACATTCAAGTCCTGAAAAGGTTAAGCTATACAGGGCATAAACAATTTTATATGCTATAAGAATGTCAGGATTCAGGGAATGTTTCAAATACCTCAAACAGAAAAGGTATTACTGAAGATTATAACAATTTATACCTAGTACTAGTGGAAATGTGAAATGTAGAAACACAGGTATGGAACTCAAAAGACAGAATATGCTAGTAGCATGAATGAACACAGATGCTTGCTAGTTGAACAGTGCATCAACATAGTTGATAAGGCTAACTATGTAACTTGCTAACTTTATCATCGTCCACAAGATTGTACCTGACTGCTAAGATGGATATAGTGGTGTCATCAGAACAAAAAAGAATACATTGCTGCACACTTGCTAGGGACTAGAATACTTATGAAACGTGATGGAAACCCTTCAAATTGCTTGAAAAAATAACATGATAAAATGCTAACAAGAGGTGCAATGTTGATTTGCTGTGCAGCTAGGCGCTTTTGCGCCTTAGATCGATCATCCAAAGATCCGAAACAGTTGAGATGATGTGGCTTCATGAAAGGAATGAATCAGCCATAACTAAAACACGAGAGTTATTGTTGGTGAAGGAAATACACAGCTTAAGTTGGAGCATGACACTGGCCTCAGTCCATGCATTGGTTAAGCTTATCAAAAGAGTACAACACAGAGCACACGGGCACAACAAATTCTTTTCATCAAAGTACGTACTTCCTCCGTTTCATATTATAAGAATTTCTAGCATTGGCCACATTCATATATATGTTAATGAATCTAGACATATATGTGTGCCTAGATTCATTAACATATATATGAATGTGGGCAATGCTAGAAAGTCTTATAACCTAAAACGGAGGGAGTAAAAGTACTAACTACAATCACATTTAAGGGTCATGTCAAAGCATATATAAACATCCCATGGACCTTTGGTATATACAGCAGGACAGGACACCAAGTGTGCAGAGTTCAGCAATGGACATCTTCGAATTCAAAATAACCCCCATTCATCGGGCGCTATGTCAGATTCACGTGCCAACAAATTACAACCAACCACATGAACCATAATCGACATACTTCCGAAATGCACACGCACTCTCCATATTTAGTACTCCTAGTATCCGCCCAATTGCCCACCCAGCCACCCACCACCATACAAGAGCACCTAAATTCGACAGCATACGCAACTAAATGTGGTTGCATGTAGTAAACCACACCCCCCACCAGCATAATTCAGGGCAGATCCAGACTCCAGAGTAGGTGAGTCGCACATCACACTGCCCAATCACCAGGTAGGTAGCAGTGTGCACTGCAAGCTAACCCCGACCGTTGCAGCCAACGGGGAGCAGAGATCTAGGACTAGTGTAGTGTCGTACCACCTCTACCAACCACTCGCTGCGTTGCTGTACGCTACTACTGCTACCTACGATCTAAATGGAAGTGTGACGTAAGCCCACCAGCTAGCATTGAATCAATTGGCGCGCGTATCACGGAGGAGCTCACTAATCCAGCGATCTGAACGCCGGAAAAAATTGGGAGAAAAATGATATGATGAACGAACAGTAACGAAATGACGCGAAACAGCAGGATCGAAATCTGGAGAGCGGAATTGTTGCGAGATTTGGCGGGGGGGGGGGGGGGGAGAGGCTTGCCTCTCCTGGCCGGCGGTGTCCCAGATCTGGGCCTTGACGGACTTGTGGTCGATGAGGAGGGTGCGGGTCTGGAACTCGACGCCGATGGTGGCCTTGGAGTCGATGGAGAACTCGTTGCGGGCGAAGCGGGCGAGGATCTGGGACTTGCCGACGGCGGAGTCCCCGATCAGCACCACCTTGAACACGTAGTCCACCTTCTCCCCGCCCGCCATCTCCCTCTCTCTCTTCTCGCTGTGGCGGCGGCGGCGGCGGCGGTCGGATCGGAGCGAAGCGAAGCGCGAGGGGAGGGCGAGTGAGGAGGTCGGGTTGGGATGGGGGGGTTTTGGAGGCGGAGGAAGCGGGGGAGACGGACGAGACGGCGGTCGGGTCGAGTGAAGGAAGAAGGCGGTGGTGGTGCCGTGCAACTCGGGCTCGCGTGGAATGACGGGATTGCCCCTCCCCCCTTCTCAACGCCGGTTTTGTTCTGTTGTCTTCCGCCGACTGCGGTTTTGCAGTCGGAACGGAGCATAGCTCCCCGTTTTGAAATATTTCGAATAGAAAAAAACGCTATCTCCGTCCTATAATACTTATAATACCGTCCTATAATACTATTTAAGTTTTGTTCTCAAATAGTACTTGTTAATATAGAGTACTGGTTGTCCCATAAATCATTTTATATTCAAAAATTTTCATATTTTACCCTCAATAACCTTTTCACTTCTCATTAGATATTATTTAATACGGGGTATTATAAATTTTTTAATTAAACCTTAATCCATCCTAAATAATCTAGAATGATAACTATTGTGGGACGGAGAGAGGACTATATTGCACTATAATAAACGCTAATACGTCATGCTATGAATGAATACATGTAGGATATGTTTGATAGAGCTCTAAATTATAAGTTTAACTTCAAGAATTAGATCTGGAATGGAGTTATGAAACAGTCTAAACCCGACTTCATGTCTTAGTTTATTTTATGAGAGCCCGCTTCACCCTCTTTTTCCAGATGGAGCTGAAATTGTTTGGCCTAAGGTGAGAATTGAAGCCGGATCTCTACTAAATAGGTCCCTTGATTCTCTATAATTTTCAACTAACTTAAATTCTAATAAATGGCTAAGAAGCATGTAAAATGGTACGCTAAATACATCTATATCAAAATAATTCTAGTCTTAATTTAAACGGGCTATTTTAAATGTTTTGTCCATTACGGTGAGTTGAAGATATAATTATTTCAATGTCTTTACTTTTTGTCATTAATTAAGTACCTCCTGTTATTAATTTGGTTGTCCAAAGCACCATGTATGATGTATCTACATCAGGTAGCAAGCAATGTTTACGTTAATGTAATAGAGTTAATTATCTATTGAATTTAGATAAATCTTGTGTAGATTTACAACAACAAAAAAGTTACTCCCTCCCTCCGTTTCACAATGTAAGTCATTCTATATGTCTAGATTCATTAATATCAATATGAATGTGGAAAATACTAGAATGATTTACATTGTGAAACGGAGGAAGTATATACTAAAACCTACTCAATTTTAGAACTAGCCTGAATTGTAACAAAAGAAATAATAGTGATCACGTCGATCTTTGATTTGCTAGATAAAGTATAAAGCCCCATTGTTTCTTATCGTTTCAATACTAGCACATAGCCACATATTACACAAAAATAGCAGTACTACTGCTACTAGCACACAGTCTGGTCTTTTTATTTTCTTACCTGGGTGGAGTGGCCGAATTGCCCCTGGTGTGGAGCCCACGTGCCGCGTGCGCCGACGCACGCTTGGACTTACCGAGCCTTGGCATTTACGGCTCCTCGTTTTTCTACTCCTCCTCCGTGTGTAATGACCGTGCAGAAGTAGATGCAGGTAGGAGTACATCGTTGACCACGGTGATTTTCATGCGACAGTGTTCATTTCTCCACGATCTTCCTCGATATCGATAAAACTATTGAGGCGCTGATTCTAACTTTTTTTTTCTTCAAACTTCCAATTTCTTCGTCACATCAAATTTTCCTACACACATAAATTTTTCAACTTTTCCATCACATCGTTTCAATTTCTTTAAACTTCAATTTTAGCGTAGAACTAAACACAGTCTGAGTTGGTGTTTAGATCTAAGGGATCTAGGGGTCTAGAGTTTTGGCATGTCATATCGAATATTTTATAGAGTGTCGCATGGGGTATTTGGGTACTAATAAAAAACTAATTACAGAATCCGTCGGTAAACCACGAGATAAATTTATTAAGCCTAATTAATCCGTCATTAGCAAATGTTTACTATAGCACCACATCGTTAAATCATGGAGCAAGTAGGCTTAAAAGATTCGTCTCGTAAATTAGTCGCAATATGTGCGATTAGTTATTTTTTAGCCTATATTTAATACTTTATGCATGTGTTCAAACGTTCGATCGTTTGATGTGATAGGGTGTAAAATTTTGAGGTGAGATAATATCAGATGCACTCTCTCTATTTTCCCGGGCAATCGGTATATAAGAAAATAACATCTATTATCACTCATCTTTCTATAAAAGCTTTTTAAACAAATTAACCGGTTTTTAAACAAATTAATGACAATGGACGCTATTCATTTAGTACCATCTACGATCACTCATCTTTCTATAGAAGTTTTTTATAGACATATAAGAAAATAACATCATCTCAAAAATATATAAGAAAATAACATATTATTAAAGTGTATTGCAGGCTAAACATAACCAAACTTCTTAGTCATTGTAGACTGAGTTAAGAATAGTGGACTAGTGGTTAAAGATGAGATAAATAGTAATAATCAACTTTGTTGGTTGCTATCATTAAAGGGTTAATTGGATCCATGCCATTACAACTTTTCCAATTTAAAAAATATCGTTACTATTCATGATATTATGAATTGGTTGAGTTCCATCGGTATTTAGTAAATTTGAATCATGCCATTATATACATCTCAGACGCAGTTGAACTATGTTTTTAAATACCGTATTTTTTACATACCAAAATGTCCCCAGCCCTTAGAGGCCGACAAGTAGGATCCACCTTGTCATACTTCTGTTCTTCCCCAGCCTTTCTACCCTAGCTATTATTTTGGTTATTGCGGCAAGCAAGCGATGACAGCAAACATTGGCGATCGATGGAGCAAGCGAGCGAGGACGATGGAACAAGCAGCAGCATCGATCTTGAATCGAGTAGCGAAGTAATTAAAAGTAAGGGTGATCTGCTCCTCCCACAGCGATTCACCCCTTTTTTTACTGGCGTGTTCGTTTGCGCTGGTATCCACGTCCCCTTCAATTTTTTACGTGTCTATGCACTGTGGGCCTCCAGTGTTCTTGCGACGCGATTTGCTCACGCGCCATAGGTCTCCACTCTGTGGGCCTACTCCGCTGTGCACGCGAGCCGTCGACAGGGTGGCTCAGTGCTGGGTTTTTGCTCCCTGATCAGTGGGCCTGGTGCTGTGTGGGGCCGCATGGCTCGCTGATTGAGTGGACTATGCCCGGTGAAGATTGCTCATTACAGTTCACGTGTTTAATAGGGTCTTTCGTATCTGCCCTGCGCCGGGACCATGGATATATCCTGTTTGCTCCCGTGCAGGGAGTATGGGCTCCATGTTTGTACCGGTTGACGAATGGGAGATAGACAACGCTATACAGGCCTGCTCCATGCAGCGTGCGGCGCGAGGAAACCATTAAATCGCACTGGTACTATTTTTCCCTTTCTTTTTCGTCCCCTTCCTTCTTCTCCAGCCTAATCCCTTTTTTCCGTTCATCTTTCTTGCGTCCTCATGGCGATTCCGAGGTGAGCGTTCTGGCGTTGTGCGGCCTCCATCGCGGACGCGTGTTCTCACTTCGTGCGTTCTTCTTCCAGTCCTTGCTGGTAGGATATTTTGCTGGTTCATTAATATTTGTTTGTGCTGTATAGGTTCTAACATTGGCCCTCTTTTACATGTAGTCCTGTATACAGTTGAGTTCCAGAAGCGTGGCCTCCCTCGTATTCATCGCTTAGTGTAACATCCCGGACTAGGGCTTAATAAGATTAATAGAATACTCATATCAACAAGTTGCAACTTCTTTTCCGGAAGCCAATCTCCAAAGAACTCCAGGGTTAAGCGTGCTTGGCCTGGAGCAATTTGGGATGGGTGACCGACCGGGAAATTCCTGGGTGCATACGAGTGAGGACAAAGTGTGCAGAAAAGACATGTGTTGGTCTGTGAGGGCAGTCCATGACCTATGAAAGCTATCAGATGTAAGTGGGCTCGGCCTGGGGGAAGGCGGGACGTTACAAAGTGGTATCAGAGCAGCATGGCACATGCGCTGGCACTGGACACATGGACGTGGCTAAGAGAGGACGTTTCTGGCCTAGGGTTGATCGACGGGGGCGTCGATCTCTCTTAAGGGGCTTAAGGGGGTGAGGGTGTAACATCCCGGACTAGAACTTAATAGGATTAATAGAATACTCATATCAATAAGTTGTAACTTCTTTTGCCAATCTCCAAAGAACTCCAGGGTTAAGCGTGCTTGGCCTGGAGCAATTTGGGATGGGTGACCGACCGGGAAATTCTTCCCGGGTGCACACGAGTGAGGACAAAGTGTGCAGAAAAGACATGTGTTGGTCTGTGAGGGCAGTCTATGACCTATGAAAGCTATCAGATGTAAGTGGGCCCGGCCTGGGGGAAGGCGGGACGTTACACTTAGTTTGGCTTGCTGCTGAGAATACTGAGTTTAGTGCTCCCATTGTCGATGGTTTTATTTTTGCTGAAATACCTGATGTGTTGACTGATCCTTTAGGTTATGCTTTAGTTGATGAATTTATGATTCATGGCCCTTGTGGCAATCAGAACCGGGCATGCCCATGTATGAAAAAGGGAGAATGCTCCAAGCATTTCCCTAAATCTTTTCAGGAAGAGACTATGATGGATGAATTTGGATTTACTATTTACAAACGCAGAAACAATGGTCGATATGTTGTGAAAAATGGTATTAAACTTTACAACAGATGGGTAGTGCCCTATAACCTAGAACTTCTGAAAAAATACCAAGCTCACATTAACGTAGAATGGTGCAACAAATCTAATATGATCAAATACTTGTTTAAATATGTCACAAAAGGAGCTGATAGAACTAAAGCATTTTTTGAGATTTCTGGAAATGCATCGAATAAAACATCTGAAAGCTCTACTTCTCCACGAAATGAAATACAAGAATGCATCGATGCAAGGTTTCTATCTACATGTGAGTCTCATTGGCGGGCTTTTGAATTGGATATACACTATAGAATGCCTTCTGTAGAACGCCTAACTGTGCACCTTCCAAATATGAACTTTGTTCGATACAAGAAAGGATCTGACCTACAATCTTTGCTATCCAGCCCTGCAGTGAAAAAAACATTGTTAACGGAGTGGTTCGAAGCGAACAGAAAATATAGCAGTGCACATACGCTTACTTACT